CTGTATTCCAACAAGATTTTGTTAACAAGAGCAAGTGGCTGCTGGGGTTTGGCCTGGGGCCCTGGTTTGCTAACCCCTGGCTTTGAGGGTCCTTGGCCTGTTATGGAGTGGGGTGGGGACTCCCTTATGAATGGCCTCTGCAGCTTGGGCCTCCCCATCTGTGAGATGGGAGTAGATAACAGTGCCATCAGGTTAAAGATGTAGGGATTGGTTCAGAGTCTTTAGCACAGAGCATGGCACGCAGTGTCCAAGCTGTGATTTGCTTGATTGTTACCGTTGAGGCCAAGTGTTTGATCCTCCCTGACACAAAAGGAAACTGGGGCTGGTGACACCCTGGAGCCTCCCCCTGGGTCTAACACCATCTAGAAGGGCTGGGTACTAAGGATTAGAAAGACAGGCAGGGCAGAGAGTGACTGAGCCATGCGCCCGGCCCTGCAGCCTCCCCTCTGGGTCTAATGCCATCTAGAAGAGCTGGGTACTAAAGATTAGAAAGACAGGCAGGGCGGAGAGGGGCCAAGCCAGGCACCCGGCCCTGTGATGCCCTTTCTGCAGGCCTCTGTGGGTGAGTCTTCCTCACTGGTGTCTTCCTTTATCTGCAGAACGTGCGAGCACTTGGGGATGGAGTATCTTCACATGTAATGCAGGTGGCTGTAAGGGAGTACTGCCATATCTGGGACTAACTTTTCCCTGTGGCTTTTATTCTCAGGACTGCAGGTTTTCTAATATAAATAAGAGTAGACAGTGCTCTGTATCCATGGGTTCTGCATCCTTGGATTTAACTAGCCTCATGTTGAACATACTCAAAGTAATAACAATAAATAGTACAACAATAAAATAATACAAGCTTAACAACACAGTATAACAAAGATTTCCACAGCATTTACATTGCATCAGGTTTTATAAGGAATCTCGAGATGATGTAAAGTATACACGAGGATGTGTGTAGGGTACACACGAACTCAATGCCATCTCCGGGTTTTGATATCTGAGGGGCGTCCCGGAACCAATTCCCAGCAGACACAGAGGGATTGTATGTTGTTTTAAGTCACCTGTGAGTCTGAACTACTAGAAGTACCTTTTGCACCGCAGTCTTGCTGTCTGGTGGCTGCCCGCAGGGCTACCTCCTGTGACAGGTTGTGCCCAAGGAGGGCGGGGACTATGAGGGTGGCCGTGCTGCCCTCCAGGGTTCATGCTGTTCAGGGTCTGCTGGGGACCCTGCGTCCATGTCATTGGACCAGGTCTCTGGGCCCCCCCAGCACGAGGCTCCCCTGTTCTGCCCCGACACTGCACAAGGAAGGATGCTGCGTGATTTGACTCTTGACCGAGAGGAAATTGTGCCTGCCTGACTCCACTGCCCACTGCTTACTGCCCTGAGTTCTGGGAGTGCTGGTGTGAGGACAGTCTCCCCAGTGTGTTCTAGAAAGAACGCCTTACCTCTCCCAAACCTCTGTGCTTCCGGTGGGGGCTCGCGGCAGCCTGGTGCTTCCGGTGGGGGCTCGCGGCAACTTGGTGCAGGGCAGGCAGGTCATGTTTGCTGCAAATTCAGATTTTTGTGACTGAGTTACAGGTTTTTTTTCTCCCTGGGGAGCCTTGAATCTCAGAGGCGAAAGAGACCTTACTTAGGATTTTAAGACTTTATTTTTTACAGCAGTTATGGTTCACAGCAAAATTCAGTGGAAGGGAGAGATTTCCCATGTGAACTCCCCGCATGCACAGCCTCCTGTGCTACCAACATCTCCCCAGGGTGGTGTGTCTGTCCCCGCTGAGGAGCCCACGGTGACCAGTGTCACACAGTCTGGAGTGGACCTCGGGGCTCCCTCCTGGTGTGGCACGTTCTCTGGGTTTGCACAAGTGTCAAATGCCAGATGTCTGTCACCTTAGTGTCACAGAGAAGAACTTCATTACCCTGAAAGTCCTACGCTCGGCCTGTTCCTCCTCCTCCCCCATGACGGCTAACCCACGGCGCCTTCCACTGGCATCACAGCGGAGTCCCTTTCAGCATGTCACACGGGGCAGTCGGACAGCAGGCAGCCTTGTCAGGTGGCTTTTGGCACTTGCCCTGCCTCTGAGGTTCCTCCAGGCTCCTGTTTCCAGTGCTCAATCACAGTCCACAGTCTGGCCCCGCCAGCAGGAAAGCAAGGCCTGAGCCGGGAGATGCCTGGTCAGGGACACAGGGCTGCCAAGTCCAGTCAGCCCAGAGGGCCGGAGCCAACAGCCGGGTCTGGCAGGGCTCTGAGGACACTGGGGGAATCATGCACCTCAAGGCCTCAGCTCCAAATCGTGAATGGAGAGTGTGGAGCCCACGGACTCTCGGGAAGGCACGCTGATACCACAGGCCCCGTGAGCCCTGCTGAGACTGGCCTTGCCACCGCTTCCGTCGGGTCCTCTTGATGAAGGGTAGGCAAGGCAAGCCCAAAGTTGGGACTTAGCCTCAGAGGGTTCTTGGCTTCACCCAGGAAAGAATTCGAGGGCAAACGGGTGGCATTAGACAGCAGCTCTTATGGAAGCAGCCATGCATGGCAGCAGCAGAGGCACAGCTCGGTGCAGAGCCGGGGCCCCCCAGAGGCAGTACACCCAGAGCAGCAGCTCAGAGGCAGGGCTGCACTCAGAATCATACCCACTTCTACTTATATACAAATTAAAGAGACATTTCTAGAAAAAGGCGGTAATTTTCACATCCTCGGGTTGTTGGCCTGGAAAGGGGCGGTACCTCCCAGGGTTGCCATGGCAATGGTAAACTGACCCGTGGCTGGTGGGCGTGTCTTATGGGAAGCTGCTTCCCCCAGCTCTGTTTTAGCTAGTCCTCAATTTGGTCCAGTATCTGAGTCCCATTCCCCTGCCGAGTCAACTCATGCCTCCTACCTCACTCTGAGCCACCAGGCTGCCACGGATGGGGTGGCTTAAACCACACACATCTGTGTCTCAGTTCCAGAGGGTGGAATCCAAGGCCAAGGTGCCAGCATGCGTGGCTTCTCCTGAGGCCTCTCTCCTGGGCCTGCCAATGGCTGCCTCTCTGTGTGGTCACATGGTCGTCCCTCTGTGTGTGTCTCTCTCTGTGCAGTTTCCATGCTTTTATAAGGATGTTGGTCTTCTTGGATGAAGGCCTACCCTAATGACCTCATGTTCACTCAATGACTTCTGTAAAAGCCCTATCTCGAAATACAGGAACTGAGGTGCCAGGGGCCAGGACTTCAGTGTATGCATCTGGGGGGCATGATTCCACCCTCAGCAAGGGCAACGCCAGGCTCCACTGAGCCTGGAACACAGTGAGCTCCCTGGCCCCCGCACCTCTCAGGACTGTCAGGCCCCGACCGTGAGGGCCGACAGGCTGGGCAGAACCGGGGTTGACTGCTGTGACCCTGAGAGGCCACGTTCAGCTGGGCCCCGCCCGTCACCCCGGGCCCCATCGTAGCCTTCCCAGGCATTGCCAGCCATGGCCCTGGCCCTGCCTTCACCTGGGGACCCCTGTACGGGAACTCAGCATGATGTTTTTGGATTCTGCTGGTTGACTTGTCACCAGGGAGGTGTCTGTGAGGTGATAGTCAGAACTGGTGTGGTCGGTGGCCAGAGAATAAAGTAAAAGTTTCAGAAATAGCCTGCACCGCCACTGTTCCTGAGGCACCCACTGCTGCGGCCGGCAACTGCTCCCGGGCTCCTCTGGGCGGTGACTTCCCTCTCGAGTGTATTTCAGGGACTCAGTCCTAGGGCTGTGGGTTCCGCATCCTCAGATTTAACTAACCTCATGTTGAACATACTCAAAATAATAACAAATAGTACAATAAAATAATACAAGCTTAACAACACAGTATAGCAAAGATTTCCACAGCATTTACATTGCATCAGGTATCATAAGGAATCTCGAGATGGTTTAAAGTGTACACGAGGATGTGTGTAGGGTACACGCGAGCTCAACACCATCCCCGGGTTTTGATATCCGAGGGGCGTCCTGGAACAAATCCCCAGGAGACACGGAGGGATCATGCGTTGTTTTAAGTCACATACACCATCCCCAGGTTTTGATATCTGAGGGGAGTCCTGGAATGAATTCCCAGTAGACACGGAGGGATCATGCGTAGTTTTAAGTCACAGCACGAAGGGTATCTCTCTAGGTTTTATTTTCCTCTCTAGGAAAATTGTTTAATATTTCCAGGCCATAAAGAAAACACATGGTGGCAAATATTTTTAAAATATAGAAACACCTAATTTAGAAAGAAGCATCTCTTTCAGTTTCCAGGGAAACCAGGTTAACAGGTAAAACTCGGATCATTGACTTGAAGTTGATCAACTTAGTACTAGATTATAGACATCTCTATTTTGATTGATTGATTGATTGATTGAGGCAGGGTCTCACTCTTATCACCCACACTGGAGTGCAGTGGCACATTCATAGCTCTCTGCAGCCTTGAACTCCCAGGATCAAGCAATCTTCCTGCCTCAGCCTCCTGAGTAGCTAGGACTACATGCATGCACCACCATACCTGGCTAATTTTTTTTTTCCTGTGGTGACTGAGGTCTCATTATGTTGTCCAGGCTTGGCTTGAATTCCTGGCCTCAAGCAATCCTCCTGCCTTGGTCTCCAAAATTGCTGAGATTACAAGCTTGAGTCACCGCATCCAACCCTGACATCTCTATTTTTCAAATGACTCATTCCATAGCTGAGAGGCGAGTGCCTGGGTTGCAGAGGAAGAGGGGAGGGATACGTGTTGCTAAACTACTTTCCCAAAGGGCGTGCCTGGAGCATGTGCCAGTTTTGAATATCAGCTTGTAATATTCCTGCACGCTGGAACATCGTTCTAGTAAGCAAGCATTTGACACCCGCACATGTGTTAGGATGCTCTTTGTATTGTCAGCCGAGGAAAGCCCCGTACACAGCATCAGTTGGAGACACACAGTTTTCAGCTGTGCGTCTCTTCTCTCAAAGCCACACTCAGTTTTGAACGAACGGTGACACCTGAGAAGCATGGTGACCACTCTGATGAAGCCTTTTGTTTTGCTTTCAGACAATGAGTATATATTTATGGATTTGGAGCAAAAGCTCAGCAAGTACTTCTCAAAAGACTGGAAGAAAGAAATATATGAAGTAAGCATAGAGTGTGGGGTGGGAGAGGGCAGGGCACCACGGTGGACTGTGCTGGACCACAGGGATGCATGGGGTGGGAGAGGGCAGGGCACCACGGTGGACTGTGCTGGACCGTGGGGATGTGCTGCCTTCTGTCCACGCAGCTGCCCCGTCCGCAGGGGACTGCAGTAAGCCCGGAGGCTGCAGGCAGGTGAGCCCACCCCGAAGCCCGCCTTGGCAGATGTTCTTGAACGCTGTAGACCACGTCCCACTCAGAGTTTTCCCGTAGAAATTACCATGAGTCGAGTTGTCAGCTCTGGCGGCGGACACCTGAGCTTCGACTTTGAACTGAGTGTGAAGCAATCCAGGCCCCTCCCCATGAAAGGGGAAGACAGGACAGCCGGGGGCACCTCCCTGGGGCTCACTTGCTCTTTCTTGTATTTTCCCCACCAGGAAAATGAGAAACCCGGAGCCCCTTTCGTGGCGTTCCTCCGGGTGCAGCACTACGTGGAAAACGGAAGGGTCGTAAGGTAACGGCATGCTGACTTTAAAGGCTGTTTCCTGGAATACTGAAAATCTGCCACATGACATAGAAGCCCCACGAAGGCCACACATTACATTTGAGTTTCTCTAAAAACAAACAAACAAACAAACAAACAAAAAAACACCACTAGATTGGCTGTTTGCTTTGGGGGAACACAGGAATTCTATTTAATTGAAAGGTATACAGACTGTGTCATAAATGGGTACTTCTTTTTCTTTTTCTTTTTCTTTTTTTTTTTTTTTTTTT